GGGACAAGATATTTTTGGGCCAGCAGGTGGCATGATGGTTAAGGGCACTGGACTCCCACATGGCTGACTATGGTTCAAATTCCGGACCTAGTGGCTTGCTTTTCACTTTCTCTTTTTCTCTGTCCCTCTGTGGTCAAAGTGCAACAAATGAATAAATAAATAAGTAAAGTTAAATAATTTTTTTTTTTTAAAAAGGTATTTTCACGGCCAGCAGGTACCGTGGTGGTTAAGGATATTGGACTCCTACATGGTGGACCACAGTTCAAGTCCTGGACCTGGTGGCTTGTTTTCTCACTTTCCTCACTCTTTCACTCTGTCCCTCTCTGCTCAAAATTTAAATAAATAAATAAGTAAATGAATGAGTAAATAAAGTTAAATAAAATATTTTTTAAAAGAAGATATTTTCATTTGTTTTGTGCCGTGTATCTCCAAAAGCAGTTCTGTTCCATTATGGTTACCAGTATTGCACTCCTAAGTCCCAGAACAACACTTCCTCTTTCACTAGAAAGAATAGCTGGTGACCCTCACATAGATAACCTTTCCTTTGCACCTTTGTTGTGTCTGACCTCACACTATACTTCTTTGTGTAGTTGTTTGGTTTTGGTTTGGTTTGGTTTTTGCCATGAAGTAAAAACTAGAAAGACCGGGATTCCCCAGTACCTTGCACTGTGTGTGAAACACCCTTTTCTGGCTCCTCCTCAGCACCAGATGGCCTTCCCAAGTTGATGCCCAAGTTGGCAGCCAGGTGAGACTGAGACCGTTGCTGCTTTATCGGAAGGCTTTCACTGCCTAGGTGATGAAAGCCTCCTTTGACCATTGTCTTCATTGCTTGCATATGTTGTTATTACTGTTGCTGGTGAATGCACGTATATGTATATATTTGTATGTAAAAATGTATCCATATATTTATATGGATATGTGCATAAATGTATTATGTATATACATATGTCTGTTTATATATACAAAACAGTAACTTTCCATTTTAAATTTAGTTAGATTTTTACTATAGGGCACATGCACTTGTCAGAGAGACAGAGAGACAGAAAACTAGAAGTCACTCCCCAGGGGGACAGCCATGCCACAGTCCTTTCTCCAGTCTCCTCTCTGGATCTTGGGCACACACACACACGCACCTAGCGTGAGCTTTAAGTCATTTGATCCGGGACTCAAACCACAGTCGGCTACGTGGGAGTCCAGGATGTAACCAATATACCATCTGCTAGCCTCTATTTTTTTTTTTAAGAATTATTTGATTTAACTTTTTAATTTATGCATTTTTTTTTTGAGAAGTGTATGCTATAGGGTGCGTCCACTTGCCAGAAAGAGAGAAACAGACAGAAAGCGAGAAATCACCCCCTGGGGGGATGGTCACGCCACAATCCCTTCTCCTCCATTCTCTTAGGATCTTGGGCACGCACACACATGCGCCCAGCATGAGTTTACCAGGTCCGGGACTCAAACCGTGGTCGACTACATAGGAGTCTAGCAACATAGCCATTATGCTAACTGCTGGTCTCATTTATGCATTTATTTTAATTTGACCAGAGAGGGGCAGAGTGAGAGTGTGTGAGAGAGAAAGAGAGAGAGAAAGTGAGAAAGTAAGCTGCCAGGTCAGGAACTAGAACCATGGCCAGTCATGTGGGAGTCCAGCGCCCTTAACTGTCATGCCACCTGCCGGCCCCCCATTTTTATTTTTTTATTTTTAAGTTTGCTATGGAATAGACACATGTCCTACAGAGAGAGGGAGAGGGTAAATGAAAAAGCAAACCACTAGTTTTGGGATTTGAACCGTGGTCAGCCAAGTGGGAGTCCAGCACCTTAACCACCACACCACCTGCTGGCCCCAAAAAGTAACTTTCACATAGACATACTAGTTTTCTGTTTGTTTGTCTGTTTGTTTTCTGGGATATCTTTTCTTCTGTTTTTTAATAAAGTATAAAAATTATCTTCAGTATCATTGTTTGTAATATTTCAACTACAAGCAGCGGTGGGTATGGTTTTTGTTTCGTAACCATATATGTCATATATCAAAAACATAAGTATTGCTTTACTCTCTGAACAGAAATCAGCCAAAACACTGACATCTATTCCTTGCAAATCAGCGAAGCCCTCAGAGGATTTGACTGAGACCACCAAGGACCTGGGGAAGACCGAGCTTTTCTGCTCTGTCAGCTGTCTCTCTGCGTACAACAGAGCGAAGGCGGAGCCTTCCACAGGTATGTTGTCGACGCCTGCAGACGCTGAGGGCCTGTTGAGTGTGACTGCTTTGCTCGAATTTATAGCCTTGACTCACTGCCAGATTAAACTGGTTTAAAAGTCAAAGCAGTCTGAAAACGTGTTGCAAAGAACTATTTAAAAGTACTTTTGTGTGGGACCAGCAGGTAGCATGGTGGTTAAGGCGCTGGACACTCCCACATGGCTAACTATGGTTCGAGTCCTGGACTTGGTGGCTTCCTTTCTCACTTTTCCCTCTCTCTCTGTGTGTGTGTGTGTCTCTGGTCAAAGTAGGTTGTGTTGGCCCTGTTCAAAGTAAAATAAATGAAGGAATAAATAAAAGTAAAATAAATAATTTCTTAAAAAAAAAAAGTATTTTTGTTTAAAAGGAAGGCTACTTCACCACCAGAGATTTAATTTTTATTTTATAGATTATCATGTTGAATGTTGGACTTGGTCCATGGGAGGTACTCATTCAATATTGAGTACTTACTACATTTATGCTAGGAGTGGTTCTATAGAATAGAATGCTATATTAACCCTGCATTGTCAGAAGAAAGCTTCTAGTTACGTGTCACTCAAGGTGTAAGTGGTTAGGAATACTGTAAGGCCGGGTTGGCAGGTAACGTGGTTAAAGGTGTTGGACTCCCACGTGGTCGACTGACTCAGGTCCCAGGCTTGATGGCTTGCTTTCTCATTTTCTCTCTCTCGGGTCAAATTAAAAAATAATAATAATTGGGACCAGCAGTTGGCATAATGACTACGTCGCTGGACTCCCATGTAGTCGACCGCAGTTCACGTCCCGACCCAGTGGCTTAAAACTCATGCCAGGCATGTGTGCATGCGTGCCCAAGATCCCAAGAGGAGAATGGAGGAAAAGGGATTGCGGCGTGGCCATCCCCCCTGGGGGGTGATTTCTTGCTTTCTATCTCTCTATCTGGCGAGCGCACGCACCCTATAGCAAAAAACCTCTTAAAAAAAAAAAAAAGAAAGAAAAAAATAATAATTGAAGTTAAATAATTCTTTAAAAAGAAAGAACTACATTGTGGTGTCCTCACAGCCATCCAGGGATTCTGTCAGAGCCTCGCTGGGTCACTGATGCTGTTGATCCAGTGTGTCAGCGAGGCCCCTAGAGTTCCAGCATTGTGCACAGTGGCTCATTCCAGAAATCTCTCAGTTCTCGCTTGGGTACCATCCTAGATCCATTGGTGATACGATCTATGAATTATGGGAGAGTTAGAAATTGATGCTCTTTTAGGAGATTCTTTTAGGTTTTTTGCCATTAGGTAACTGTGCTTGCTAAAGACAGAGGGCAAGTGAGAAATCACTCAGGGGAATGGCCATGCTGCAGTCCCTTCTCTATTTTCTTAGGATTTTAGGCATACACACATGTGATTTTCAAGTTGCCAGGTCCAGGGCTTGAACCATGGGTGACCATATAGGAGTCCAGTGCCTTAAACACCACCACACCATGTGCTGGCCCAATAGATTGTATTGGAATCATTTTTCTGTTCTTCATAGATAAATTTCACAGTACAAATTTGCTCAAGATTTCAAACAGGACTGAGAAATCATTTGTGAAGGTAATGGATTAAAAATATCAGGGAAGTGTAATTTTGTGCTGCTATAATGAATATTTTTTTTTTCTTTGAGAGAGAGAGTTAGTTTCTTGCTATAGGGCATGTATGCTCGCCAGAGAGTGAGAGAGAAAAAAAGAGACCAAAAACAAGAAATCACCCTTCCCAGGGGGATTGGCCATCCCACAATCTCTTTTCCTCCATTCTCCTCCTAGATTTTGGGCATGCACACATACACACCTGGCATGAGTTTTAAGCCTCTGGCTCTGGGACTCACACTCTGGTCGACTACTTGGGAGTTCAGTGACAAAACTATTACATCATGTGCTGGTTCCAAGAATATTATATTGAAGAACCTGATTATCCCTGGGTCCTAAGAAATATTTCACCAATATCCAATAATACCTTAAGCTGTTAGATACTTGCAATGTCCCTGAAACACTGTTGTTTTTAATTTCGAGGGCACATGCCCTCCTGGGAGATGACCGCTAATGTGAGAATGCACCCATCCATGAGGAATAGTCCTGCTGCAATCCCTGCTCCTCTGTCCTCTCCTTTCAGGATCTGGGTATGCACACATACCCCATGTGTTTCTTAAGTCACAGTGTCCTGGCCTTGAGTTGTGCTGCCACCCACATGGGATCCAGCCACTGTAACCACCAGGCCCCAGCAGCCCTAAGCACTCATTTTGTTTTTGTGAAAAATCACCCCCAGCCCTTTCCCTGATGCTGCCAAGTCGCGCGGAGACTTAGGTGCATTCAAGGTTTGGCTCCCCCTGTAATCCACGGTCATGACCAAGGAGGGCATTGCTGCTAGAGGTGCAGTGGACACTAGTACTGCTTTACAAGAGGTGCTGAAGACCGCCCTCACCCACGAAGGCCTACCACGTGAAATTCGTCAAGCCGCCACGGCCCACCTATGTGTGCTTGCATCCAGCTGTGAGGAACCTATGTATGCCAGGTTGGTGGAGGCCCTTTGTGCCAAACACCAAATCAACCTGATTAAGATCAATGACAAGATATTATGGGAATGGGTAGGCCTCTGTAAAATTGACAGAGAGGGAAATACTGTAAAGTGCTTGGTTGCTGCCGTGTGGTAATTAAGGACTATGGCAAGGAATCCCAGGCCAAGGACGTCATTGAAGAGTACTTCAAATGCAAGAAATTAAAAGATAAGAACAATTGGCTCTTGGGGGAAAAAAATCACCCCCTAGGAGAGGGCCACGCCACAATCCCCTCTGTTCCATTCTCCTCTTGGGATTTCGGACATGCATACACACACACCCAGCGTGAGTTATTTCTTTTTATTAATTAATTAGTTTTAATTTTTTACCAGAGAGAGAGGAAAGTGAGTAAACAAGCCACCAGGTCTGGGACTCAAACCATGGTCAGCCATGTGGGAGTCCAGTGCTTCCAATCACCATGTCACCTACTGGCCCCCTCAGTGTGAGTTTTAAGCCACTGATCCAGGACTTGAATTGCAGCTGACTACATGAGAGAGTCCAGCAACATAACCATTAGGTCATCTGCTGATCCCAAAACACTCTTTTTTTTTTTTTTTAAAGAGGTTTTTGCTACAGGGCACGTGCCCTCCTCGAGAGACAGAAACTGAGAAATCACCCCCCAGGGGGGGATGGCCACGTCACAATCCCTTCTCCATTCTCCTCTCGGGATCTTGGGCGTGCACGCACACACTCCTGACAAGAGTTTAAGCCACTGGGTCCAGGACTTGAACCAAGATTGACTACATTGGAGTCCAGCGACATAGCCATTATGCTAACTGCTGGTCCCCCAGAACACTCATTGTTAAACAGAGCTTTCTGATTTATTCTGCCTAGTTTGTAAGAAATCTTTGTGTTTATTTCTACCAGTGAATGTTTCCATACATAATACTTCACCGGAGCTGCCTTCTCCCAAGAAAGATACAACCCCAGTGATCAGCAATATAGTGTCCTTGGCAGACACACCTGCTGCCCTGCCTGTCGCGGACACTGACGTCGCACAAGGTAAAAACTGATGTTAAGGTATTCGACCAAACGCTGTTTCGTCTTACTTGGCAAATCAGTTGACGTGCTAAACGTTCTTGTTTCCTGATACAAAATAAGCAATTCTAGTTTATGACGCTGCTTTACAGGTTATCGAGTAAGATCTTGAATTTATACTCCTTATTTCTCTGAACAGGTCTGGTTTCTTCAGTAACAGCAAATGTCATTGTGGATGTAAGTTTTACCTTGAGTTTTTTTCTTTTTTGCTACTGTATATTTCAAGTAGATTATATACATACATTTAAAAAGAATACTTAAGGGGCCAGCAGATGCCATGGTGGTTAAGGTGCTAGATTCCCACATGGTTGACTACAGTTCAAGTCCCATACCTGGCAGCTTGTTTTCTCACTTTTCCTCTCTCTCACTGGTCAAATTAAATAATTATACATACATGTGTGTGTGTGTGTGTGTGTGTGTGTATATATATATATATACACACATACATATACACATACATATACACATACATATATATGTATAATTAAAATTAAATAATTATACATACGTGTATATATTATATATGTAATTATTTAATTATATATCATATATATTGTATATATATTTGAATAACTTTTGTATAAATATGTATATATATTTATTATACACACACGTACACTTGGTGAACACATACCCTCTGGCAAAAATTTTTTTTTTTTTGAGAGGTTTTCGCTATAGGGCGCGTGCGCTCGCCAGACAGACAGAGAGAGACATAGAGACAGAAAGTGAGAAATCACCCCCAAGAGGGGATGGCCACGCCACAATCCCTTCTCCTCCATTCTCCTCTTGGGATCTTGGGCATGCACGCACACGTGCCCGGCGTGAGTTTTAAGCCACCGGGTCCGGGACGCAAACCGCGGTTGACTACGTGGGAGTCCAGCGACATAGCCATTACGCTAACTGCTGGTTCCCTGGCAAAATATTTTTAAAGAAGAAATTTTTTTTAATTATTTTGTTTAACTTTAGTTATTTGTCTATTTTTATTTGACCAGAGAGCAAAAAAGAAAGGGAAATTAAGAAAGTCACTAGGTCTGGGACTTGAACTGCAGTCAGCCACCACGTGGGAATCTAGCATCCTTAACTGCCACGCCACCTGCCAGCCCCAAGGAGAATATTAAACAGAAATTATTAGTCATACCCCCACCACCCCCCTTTTTTTTTAAGAGTTATTTTATTTAACTTTATTTATTTATTTACTTATTTTAATTTGACGAGAGAGACACAGGATGAGAGAGAGAGAGCAGGAAAGTGAGAAAGGAAGCCTCCAGGTCTGGTACTCAAACCGCAGTCGGCCATGTGGGAGTCCAGCGCTCTTAACCATTGTACCACCTGCCAGCCCCACCCCCGTTTTTTTTGTTTTTGTTTTTTATTTATGCTTACTAATCAAGTCTAATCATCTGAGCAATGAAAATTGTTTTTATTATATTACATATTAAAAGATTCTTCAAACATTTCGTAATAAATTTAGATTACAAATAAGTACGTTTTAAATAACTGCTACTGTTTCCTCCAGTGGAGCTCATAATATAACTCACCCACTCATCTTACTGTGTTATTAGAAGTGTGTGATATTTTAACTGATTATTCAAAATCTGTAAAAACAACTGCTATTTTACCATTTTCTCCTAAAGATTTCAAAGAGGGCACCCAGTGATTCGAACATTGGTGTTACCTGTAGCAGTAGCACGGAAGAGCCAAGACTTTCACCCTCGTTGGTGGTACTGGGTCGGCCAGCAGTGGCTTCCAGTGTAGACATACAAAAAGATACAGTGCCAAGCCAGGACCCTTCACACAATATGACTTCTGTGAAAATAAGTGCTGGACCGTGTCACCCAAAGTTTACATCCAAAGTACAAAAAGTAAAGGGTAAATCAAGAACTGTTCAAAAACCTTGGTGTTCAAATTTTCAGCGTTTGAAAAACAGTAGTAAAAAAGATGTGACATTCTGTTACTCGTGCCAGTTGTTCTACCAGAAAAAGTTTAGCTGTGCAGGAGAGTCCTGTGCAGCCCAAGGTACCTTTAATTGGAAAAAAACTCTGGAAAAGTTCAGAAAGCATGAAAAAAGCAAAATACATTTGAAGTCATTGCAGTTCTGGAGGGAATACCAGTTTGGTGATGCAGCTGTCCATGGTCATTTAGCTACTCATTCAAAACAGATCGAGGGAAACTGGAAGTACCTAAAGCTTATAATTGAGAATATTTTATTCCTTGGAAAGCAGTGTTTACCCTTAAGAGATGACCAGTCTATTTCATCTGTGAATAAAGGCAGTTTTTTAGAATTGTTAGAAATCAGAGCAAAGGATAAAGGAGAAGACGTATTTCGGCTTATGAACTCACAAGTTGATTTCTATAACAGTACACAAGTTCAAAATGATATTATTGAAATCATCAAGGCGGAAATGTTAAAGGACGTTGTGGACGAGATCAACGTCTCCTCAGCTTTTTCAGTGATCTGTGATGAGATAACTGATGGCACCACTAAAGAGCAGCTTTCAATTTGTGTAAGGTACCCACAGAAAACGTCGAAGGCTATCTTAATTAAAGAAAGATTCTTGGGTTTTGTTGCTATTGAAGAGATGACCGGGACCCACTTACATAGGACTATAAAAACGTATCTGCAGCAAATTGGAGTTGATTTGAAAAAAATACGTGGCCAGGCCTATGATAGCACCACCAGTTTGAGGACCAAATTTAGTAAGATTGCAGCAGAATTCAAGAAGGAAGAGCCAAGAGCCTTGTACATACATTGTTACGCGCATTGCTTGGATTTGGCAGTCATTAGGTTTTGTAAAGAAGTCAAAGAACTCCGAAGAGCTCTCAGCGTGCTCAGTTCTCTGTTCCACACTATTCCTGCATCTGGGGAAATGTTGGCAAGTTTTCGAAACATTTGTAAGCTGAGTCAAAACAAAACATGCCAGAAACACGCATCCCAACAGTTTTGGAGCATCCAAGACCGTACTTTACTGTCTGTGATTGACAGTCTCCCAGAGATTATTGAGACCTTGGACGGTATCTCCAGCCATTCTGCAAACACAAGTTTGGCTGATGAATTGAGTGATCTGTTGACACTGGTTTCCAAATTCGAATTTATCTTTTGTTTGAAATTTCTCTATCGAGTACTGAGTGTTACAGGAATTCTTTCCAAAGAGCTTCAGAGTGAAACCATAGACATTTTCTCTTTGTCTTCAAAAATAGAAGCAATTTTGGAATGTTTATCATCTGAAAGAAATGATGTGTATTTCAAAACTATGTGGGAGGGAACAGAGGAAATATGTCAGAAAATTACCTGTAAAGGTTTTGAGGTTGAAAAACCTACTCTTCGGAAAAGAAGAAAAATTCAAAAAACAGTGGATCTCGATGATTCAGCCAGTATGTCTTTTCCTACCTCTATAGAAGAACAATACAAAATTAGTATTTATTACCAAGGATTGGATACTATATTACAGAATTTAAAATTATGTTTTTCAGAGTTCGATTATTATAAACTGAAGCAAATTTCAGAACTTCTATTTAAGTGGAATGAACCATTAAATGAAGCAACAGCCAGAAATGTTCAAGAATTTTATAAACTCGATGCTGACCTTATCCCAGAGCTCAGATTTTACCGGCACTATGCAAAGCTCAATTTCGTCATCGACTACGACCGCATCAACCTCGTCAGCCTTGGCTGCTTGTTCATTCAGCACGGTCTTCACAATAATATTCCGTGTATCTCACAGCTGTTGTACACTGCTCTGTCTTGGCCAGTTTCTCCAGCACATGCTGAAGACTCATTTTCTATCCTGCCCCGTCTTAAAACATATTTATGTCATACCATGGGACAAGAGAAGCTCAGTGGCCTGGCCCTCATGGCTGTGGAGCAGGAGTTGGTAAATAAACTGATGGAGCCCGAGAGACTAAATGGAATTGTGCAAAAGTTTATCACTCAGATGAAAGAAAGATAATACTTGCTCAGTTGAACTTACCTAAAAGAATTTTGTATTTCTGTTGGAATGGTCATTTTTTTTATTTCAGTCATGCTTCTCTTTTAAGAAAAAGATGGTTTTAAACAGTACATGTTGGGGCCAACAGGTGGCACAGTAGTTGACGTGCTGGACTCCCACATGGCCAACTGTGGTTCATAGCCCGGACCTGGTGGCGTAGCTTTCTCGCTTTCCCTTTCTCTCTCTCTCTTTCTCTCTGGTCAAATAAAAAAAATAACAACAACAAATAAAATTTTTAAAAATCTTAAAAAACAACAGTATATGTTAACATGTGGTTCAATATTCATAAGATGGAGCCATTCCCATGTCCTGGTGTTAAGAGAGCCAGATCCCACATAGCCAACTGTACAGTTTGAATCCTGGCCCTGATAGCTTGAGAAGCATGCTGTGTGTATGTGTATGTGTGCTCCAAATCCCAGAAAGATGGAGAAATGGAAGAGAAGGGATTACGGTATAACCATGCCCCATTGAGAGGGTGCTTTCTCCCTTTTTGTCTCTCTTTGTATGACAAATACACATGCCCTCTGGCAGATTTTTTTAAAAAGAAAAAAAATTCTTAAGACATAGAATGATATATTGGGGACCAGCAGATGCCGTAGTGGTTGAGGCACTGGACATTTCCACATGGCCGACCACGGTTCGCGTCCTGGACCTGGTGGCTTGCTTTCTCACTTTCCCTCTTTCTCTCTCTTTGTGTCTCTCTCTGGTCAAATTAAAATAAAATGAATGAATAAATAAAATAATTCTTAAAAAAAAAAAAAGACATAGAATGATATAGTCTCCTTGTTTTAGAACTCAGTTCTACCTCCCTGAAGTGTTAACCTGTTCCTCAAGAGAGATTTTTTTTCTATAGAGCATGCATGCTCGCCAGAGAAGAAGAGAGACAGAGACACAGCAAGAAATCACCCCTCAGGGAGGATGGCCACGCCACAATCCCTTCTCCTCCATTCTCCTCTCAGGATCTTGGGCATGCATGCGCATGTGCCCAGCATGAGTTTAAGCCACTGGGTCTGGGACTCAAACCCCTGTCAACTGTGGGAGTCAAATGACAACCATTATACCATCTGTTGGTCCCACCTTAATTATCTTTCTAGAGATATTTTCTGTAAGTGGTACTTAGGGTGTATAATGCACACTATTCTTCAATTTATCTTCTCTGTATAATGTGATGTGTTTCAGATTGTCCCATATCAGTACATAGCTCTGTGATTCTTTCTTTTTTTTTTTTTTTTTCAGGTTTTTTTTTAGTTTATTTCTTTTTTCTTTTCTTTTCTTTTTTTTTGGAGAGGTTTTTGCCACAGCGTGCATGCGCTCACCAGACAGTCAGAGAGAGACAGAGACAGAAAGTGAGAAATCACCCCCCAGGGGGGATGGCAGGGGGGATGGCCACGCCGCAATCCCTTCTCCTCCATTCTCCTCTCGGGATCCTGGGCACACATGCACACGCGCCCGGCGTGAGTTTTAAGCCACCGGGTCCAGGACATGAACCGCGGTCGACTACGTGGGAGTCCAGCGACATAGCCATTACGCTAATTGCTGGTTCCCTAGTTTATTTATTTTTTAAAATTTTATTTATTATCACTATTCTTTAGTTTTTTTGTTGTTTTTTTTTTCACATTTTTTTTCTTTTTTTTTTATTATTATCATAATCTTCTTTATATTACATTGGATTACATATAACTTTACATTGACTTCCATTGCTTTTTCAAAAGGGAATGCCATGCATGTCAGTCAATACAGAGGCATCGATCTCCCCGCTTTATCATTCAAAGTCTTTTCCATGCATTTCCCAATAATTATTATTATTATAATTTTTTAAAACAGTCAATCACTATTTCTCATTATGCTTGTTAAAAGACTTCACCCATCATGAAATACTTCCCAGACCAGTCCAGTTGAGAATACTATACACGTCATCTTCAACAGATAATAAACCATATCTGTTTCTCACTAACATCCCCTCTATTGTTCACTTGCTATCTTTCTCTATCCTCTTCTCTCTTTTTTTTTT